CAACCTCCTGGATTTGTTGCTCAGGGGGAGTCTTCTGGGATGGTATGTCGTCTTCGCAAATCCCTATATGGCCTAAAACAGTCTCCTAGGGCCTGGTTTGGAAAGTTTAGCAAGGTTGTTCAACAATTTGGTATGACTTGGTGTGAAGCAGATCACTCTGTCTTTTATCGACACTCAAGTGTTGGATGTGTTTACTTGATAGTATATGTTGATGACATCGTTCTTACAGGTAGTGACAACCATGACATCTCTCAGTTGAAACAACATCTCTGTCACCATTTTCAGACCAAAGATCTTGGCAAACTTAGATATTTCTTGGGTATTGAGGTGACACAGTCCAATGATGGTATTGTTATATCTCAGAGGAAGTATGCCATGGATATTTTGGAGGAAACTGAGTTGATGAATTCAAAGTCTGTTGATACGCCCATGGATCACAATACTAAACTTTTACCAAATTAGGGGGAGCTTATACCTGATCCTGAGCAGTATAGAAGATTGGTTGGAAAATTGAATTATCTTACAGTTACTTGTCCTAACATTTCCTTTGCAGTCAGTGTGGTAAACCAATTTCTTAATTCCCCATGTGAAGATCATTGGAATGCAGTCATTCGTATCTTAAAGTATATTAAAGGATCTCCTGGAAAAGGATTGTTATATGATTCTAATAACCATACAAGAATTGTTTGCTACTCAGATGCTGATTGGGCAGGATCTCCTTCGGATAGAAGATCTACATCTGGATATTGTGTCTCCATTGGTGGTAACTTGGTCTCATGGAAAAGTAAGAAACAAAGTGTTGTGACAAAATCTAGTGCAGAAGCAGAATATAGAGCTATGACCTCAGCTGCTTGTGAACATGTTTGGCTCAAGCAATTGCTTAGAGAGTTACAATTTGGAGATGTCACTCAAATGTCACTTGTGTGTGACAATCAAACTGCTCTTCATATTAGTTCTAATCCTATCTTTCAAGAGAGGACCAAACACATTGAGATTGACTGTCATTTCATTCGAGAAAAGATTATGTCTGGAGACATCAAGACTGAGTTTGTTAACTCAAGTGATCAGTTAACATATATTTTTACTAAATCTTTACGGGGTCCTAGAATTGATTATATTTGTAACAAGCTTGGCACATACGATTTGTATGCTCCAGCTTGAGGGGGAGTGTTAGATATTATTTGATATTGTTAAGATATTGTTAAATATTGTTAACCACAATATCAAACAATAACTTCTGTTTATTCTGTTACTTTCAGTTACTCTTTTAGTTGTATCTCTCTACTATAAATAGACTACCCTATGTGTGATTTATACACAAGGGAGATTAATCTCAAACTCTATTTCTTCTATATTCAATACTTAGAAATAATTTTCCAACTCAGTGTTATTAAGTCCTAAAATTCCCTCTAAGCAATCCCTTGTTTTAGAGTTTCTAAAAATCCTATTGAAACAATCAATCCATTGAATAATTAAAATAAGCTTTTTGCATTAAGTCCAGGATTATATCAACTAATAATATCACATTGATTTCTAGCATACAACATTATTAGATTATTTTATTTAAATGTATCCAAGTTTAATGGTTGTATAATATAATACAATATAATATATTAATATATATAATAACGAATTATTTATAATATTATAATAATAATAATATAATTTGATAAAATATTGGAATAAAATATTAGTTGTTTGAAATAATTTTTTAATAGATGAATTATGTAGATTTGTTTTATTTTATTAATTGTTTCATCAAATAATTAAAAATAAAATAAATAAAGAGAGAATAAATTCTCTAAAATTTATTTAGATTGAGGAAAAATCAATTATAAATTATTTAATAATGATATGATGTAATAAATGTATATTTTATGTTTTTCAAAATCATAAATAACTCATGATTTAATCTTGCATATACATTAATATTAATAAAAAATTATATATATATATATATATATATATATATATTGTAAGAGATCTTTTTTTATTAAATACAAAACTAATCTTAATTAAATTAAAAGGTGATAGTTTATTTACAAAATTATTATCGATAAAAATAAAATTATTCATTATGAAAATAAGGTATCTCTATATGTGTTTTTTAAAACCATTATTAAGGAGAAAGAGGTGTTAGTTGGATTTTGTTTACTTTACATATTTCACATTTCAAAAATGTTTTCTTCGAATAAAGAAGGATAGAAAAATAAAGAACTCATTAAAAATGCCAAATCATGACAAGAAACAATGAAAAATAAAGAATTATTGATGAGAAATTTGTACAAATCTAGACAAAAGGAATGTCAGAAAAGAAGAAAAAAGAAGGATGAAGGTATGCTAGAAGTTTAGGTTAAAAAAGATGGAGGGGAAAAGATTAGGGTTGGATAATTAAAAAGTAATTTTAAACAGGTATGTTAAAATAAATTAGTATTTATGTTTCAATCATTAATAACAAGTTTGAGATAAGTTGGATTGAAATATATTAACCTATCATAAATGAGTTAAAGTGTCTTAAGTTACTTGTTTGCTAGTAACTCAAATTTGAACTAACTTGTAGCATGAGTTGATGCTAATTAAAAATAGTCATTTTCAGTTATTGACTTAGCTATTAATGTTGTTTTCTTTAGGAATGGGGTGGGACTAAGTGGTGTGTTTCTCAATATTATTCATTATTGGTTGATGACATCTTCCTTAGGTCATGAAGGATCACCCTTTGAAATATTTCAATTCAAGACTTAATAATATTGAAGAACTCTTAGAGGTTTCAACCATGAGGAAAAATATAAAAGGTAAAATGAAAAAGAAAAATAGAAATAGAAAGACTAGAAAGTGAAGGAATCATTCCAATGTGCGAAAATGTTTATTCACCACTTCAAGAAGCCCCCCAAGTCAATAATATACCATCTCATCACAATAACACCGTTTTTAAGATCATAAATGTTATTTAATATTATTCTTCAAAATATCATTTCTTGTCTCTTCAACATTTATGGAAAGTTTATTAGCCAAAGTTAAGATAAGATGTTGGATTAGATACCATTAAAAGGAGCACTTTGAGCATAAACAAATGGAGAAAATCATATTTTCTCTAATACTCTCAATTCATTGTACAAAAATGCATTAAATATCATTCATTAATGGATTATGATGATCTTCTTCTTTCTTATCAAATATAGGCTATAACATTGGTAGACATCTTCAATGGCTAACAATTATCTTTTAAAAGCTTGATATATAAGCATTAAAAAAATGAGAATACAAAACAATCCATTATCTATGAATCTTATGTGAAAAATATTGCTTTGATAAAAATTATATTGTTCTCTTTTTGAATGTCTTGTTAAGAAGTCGAAGTATAATCTTGCTTGGTTTGCAATAACCCTTTTTAAATTCATTTGGAGAGTGTAAAGGAATGAAAAATGCTACTACTTAAATAATACTTAGGAAATTTGATGGAGAAGTAAGAAGAATACTAAGAAAAATTGTTGTGAATTTTGGTATCATAGTAAAGTTTGAAAGTTTTCAAGAAGTGGACATAGTGTGGACTAAGTCAAATTAATATAAAAATAGTTTTCATCTCTCTTGTTCATCCGATAAAAAAGATTGTTATCTTTTAAAAATACATATTAAAGAAAAATAAAAAAAATTAAGTACAACAAGCTACAATTTAACCCTATCTTTCTGTATTATAAATGAAGTTAAGAAGTTACACCGCCATGCTGAAAAGTGATAATAGGTAAAATTTTCAAATTAATTAGAATTAGTTATTATGCTTAATATCTTACTGTCGAACATGCTATAAATTTCTGAAAAAGAAATATTCATTTTTGAAAAATAATTTAGAATATTCAAGAAATATTTTGATAATATTATTTTACTCTTAAAATATTATAAAAAAATTATTTTAAAAAAATATTTAATTTTAATATTTTTTCTTTAAGTTGTCTTATTAAATAAAATATTTTTATATAAATTATTTTCTCCAATTTTGATAATATTTTTTTATGAATTCTTCATATCTTATTCTCCTTCCTTCTAACTCTTACAGTACGACCTTTTGAAGTGTTAATCATTTTCCATAATTTTAGTTTACTTCTTAGTTTTAAGAATACATTTATTCATATTCATATTATTTTGTGGGTGATTCTTTCAATTTTGGAAATATTTCAATAAATTAATTATTTTGATGGGTTTTTCCTTTTCCAAAGTTTAAATATTTTATTACTGTAATGTTTTGTCAAAAAAATTACACTTCAAATATATTTTTAATATTATTTAAACTAATTGAGTTAACATATTTACACGACCAACTTATTTGTTGAATCAAGTATTTGATGAGCAACTTAAAAAAGAGACGAGTTCAATTTATTCACTCTTTGACTAAGCCATGGTTAGTCGATCAAAATAACTTAGTTTACTTAATTTGAATTATTTTTGGTCAAGCACTGAAGCATGTTCTATAAGGTTCTTTGGGCCTGTACAAAAAGCTCTATCAATAAGATCTAGAGGGATCAATTGTGACATTTTTTTTAGTCATACAAATATATAATTTTTCATTCATTGATGGATGACAAGAAATGTGAAATGTGCATGAGGCTACTAGTATTTTAGAGCATCTCCTACGGGTGATGGCCTGTGATATGATAATGAAATTAAAAATACTTAAATTTTGTAGAGTTAGTTTAAGCAATTGTTTCTTAAATTTTTTTTTTTTGTTGAATTATGTGAAAGAGAAAAATGAATCAAGAGAATGAAAATAGAGTAAAAAAAATAAAAGACGAGAATGAATAAAAAATTGAAAGATGAGAAAGTTTATATTTTAGTATTTAACTCATACTAATTATTTCCATTCTTCTCCCCAAAGTAAAATTATGTATTATGGAGGTAACAGATACGTGGGTGAGATATTTTTGAAACAGAAGTGCAAGAATTCAGCGGGAACGTAGCAGAAACAATGAAAAAATATGTCTTCCTCAAGAAGCTGCAGGCTGGAGGAATTAGACATTGGTGACATTGGAATCAAATGATGGTAGGAGCCAGCCCTTGTTCAGCGCATGATCCAAATACAAGCTGAACTTCTCAGTGGCGTTTGGAATGTCCAGAGCAAGATGGTCAAGGCTATACTTCATTCTGGTGAACCCTTTTGTCATCTGATTGATGGTGATCAGGCCTTCACTAAAGCACTCCTGCAGAAGATCCAGCATCCTATCATTCTTCTTCTCCATGCCCATAACCAAAGCTTTTTTAACAACCTCGTGGTTCATGAAAGCCATTCCTAGCTCCCGAATACACTCGCATGCCTCACTCACAACACCACCGCTCTCGTACTCCTCCAAGACCTTCATGATCTTGTCCTTGGCATCTTCAACGGCCCATCCAGTCCTACCAGCCCAACATCTTAATATTCTCTCACCAGCATGCGGAGCAGACACAAGTTGTTGAGCCATCCACGCAGTTTCACCTCCACTGGAATATGGGTTGTACCTGCTCTTCATTTCCTCTAATTTCAGAGGAGCCAATACATCATCAATCACAGCTCGAGCAAGAAAAATAGCAAGCTCAATTGATGCATCGGTTTTATCTAGTGCTGTATCTTCTGCACTTTCCAGAAGCAAGACAAAACCATTAGCTATATCCTCTGTTGAGAATATCTCCATATGAAGAGCAGACAGCAGCACTGATGCCATTTCCTTTTCTCTTTTCTTTCTGTCCATGGCGACAGTTATTAGCCTCTTCAAAAATATTGGGTTGTACTCAGGTGTCCCAAGATCTTCCAGACTTCGAATTAGTTCAGGAATGTCACCCGAGAGAAAATATTGATGAATTATTGCGGCAATCTCTTTTTTGTATTTGCTCACCTTTTCATCTTCAACTACGAAGTACCTATCTTCACTAGATGGTTTGAATGAAGCATCAAGCGACCCGTTTAATATTGCCTTATGTACCATTGTCTGAAAAATGGTTTGAGCTGATGGAATATCAAAAGCAAGATCATCAATGACTTCTTCCAGACGAGAAAACCCTTTCACTACTTGGCTGGAAGTAGTGAATCCTTCCGTTACTGCTACTTGTATTAGATCCAACAGTGGAGTTTCTGCTGAACGGATCTCCATGGCAAGCACCAAAGCCCTTCTCACAAACTCATGATGGAAGTATGAAATCTCCTCCAATTGAAATATACAACCACAGGCTCCAAACACACAACCATTTTGCACATATACTCTGAGAAAATCAACCATCCTCTTTTTCACATCTTCAACAGTGAGGTAAAAGTTACAACCCCATCGCATCTCCACAAGGTCTGCATGGTGCGGAGCAGAGAGATAAAGTTTTACAGCAGTTTGGATTGCTTGAATTCCCTTCGATGATTCTGGAAGAGCTTTCTCGGCCTTGGCAAGAAAGGCTCGAGGAATGAGCTCATCAATAACAGCACGTGTCAGAAATAAGGCAAGCATATCAACAGCATCCGGTACGTCCAATGCCAGATCATCAGCAGATTCAATGAGCATAAAAATCCCATCTTCAATCTGTTCAGAACTGAGAAGATAAATTTCCATTTCTAAAAGCAGAACTGAAGCCATCTCTCTCTCTTTATTATGCCTGACCATGGCCATGGATACAAGACGTTTAACCAAGTATGGATAATATGCAGCCAAGTCCATCTTTGATTGAAGATCTTCGAAATTATATATAACGAATTCCACATCCCCAATTCTGAAATATTTCTCTAAGATGGATACTGCTGCTTCATTTAATTCATCTAAAGGATCAGTAACGGTGGATCCAACCAGTTGATAAGGTTCCTATAATTATTAAGAGTATGCAAACAGAAAGATATAAATATTTGTGTCCCGTATGAAATAGCCACCAAAAGAAGTGAAAGATAAAATCAGCCGGCAACAAGTGGTTACTATTTACAAGAAATCAGGCAAAAAAGAAAAGAAACAACAGAAAGTCCGAAACACAAAAGGAAGATGCTGCTACTGCAATCATCATGTAAAATTTTCAAGTCGCTGAACCTTACTTAACTGTGTCAAGTAAGTACCCACTAAATCATCAGAAAAGATAAATTACCTCGCCATTATCGTAATTTGGATCGCCATATTTATCGAGCAAATCTTCCCAAGTGCCCTGACGAGCAGCACCGTCTGCATTCAGGAGATATAGCACATCAACTTATCACGCAAAGACCACAAAGAAACAAAGAAAACGGTTGTGTCAAGTATTGGCGCTGCAACTGAAACTAACCACAAGGAAAACTTCTTTACCCAATTAACCCCATGATCGCTAATCCAAAATGATAAACTTGTCTCAAAACGCTGAAAAACTCAGAGACCTATTTACTTAGTTGTCACAGATAAGTCCTTCTAACCAAGAGAAAAAAAAAAAAAGATAAGATAAGATGCAGTTCAGGTTAATAGCTAAATTTAACCAGTAGAGTGGTACACAAATCAGTGCCGGTTAAACTAAAAAAAATGAAAAATATAACCAAGGGCATGAACTCACACTCGTCGTACGGTATAAACTTTCCACTGTGCCACCGGCGCTCAATACTGGCAGCATGCTCAGTAGATTGTGCCTTACCATCCACTGATGGAGCTCTCACCTGATTATTATTATGTCCAGCAAGCAAGGATGATGGGGATATCGGCGAGGAAGAGAAACTCTTCACATTCTGACTCGCTTTTTCCATAATCTCTATGTGTTCATCGGTTAGAAACCCTGCAGTTGATGCCATCTATACGCTAAACTTGACTTATTGAAAAAAAAAAACACGAAACCTACAAGAACACAAACACCTTCACCAGTTAATCTCACTACGCCATCAACTAACACGAATATAAACAGAGCACGACGCGTCACAAGCGCTTCAAAACCAGTGCAATAAGCAAAACTAAACAGCAAACGCTTTTATTTGACACGAAGGTGATGCAAAAGCCAGTAGTATATCGCTTAAAAACCGCGTTTGGTTTTGCAGGAAATAAAAATAAGTAACAGACTAATAGTAATAGTGATAATATATAATAAAATTATAAATCAATATTCATAAACTCCGTTTCGGTAACACGTTATTGATCATGGCTCGACAGTTTCACGCGCATGCACTGGTGCACACTTCTACAGCACTTCGCAACATCACGAATACATTGTTTTTCATTCCAAAAAGCAAAACATATACGCAAAACAGATCCTAAAATAAACTAATACCACAACAACAACAACAACACGATATGAACCTAAAGAGAGAGTGACGGAGAAAATCTGAGTCGGATTGTTATCCCGTGCTTGTGCTTGGCTCTGATCTCGAGCCAAGACAGAGGAGGAGGCGAAATTCGGAGTCGTTGGCGGCTGAGAGATTCCAAAAATCCCAAATCGGAACTGTATCGGGTTGGGGATTTGTACTAACTGCAGAGTCCGTTAAAGTGAAGTGAGAAAGAAGAAGAGAAGCGAAATCATACGAGAATATGAAAGGAAAAGGTCGCAGCATATTACACCACAAGCGAAGGATTTATATAGGATGCTACGTAGACGTCACACTTCCCTCTATCCACGTGTCTATGTCATGTGCCCTGTCTTTAAGCGCCACCTGGCGCGCTAATCTGAATCCAAAACCCTTACAAGGGTAACTTTTTTTTTTTTTATTTACTTTAATGCTTAAATTTTGTTAATTTCTTTCCATAATTAAAATTACGTATTGTTAAAAATGGAACCATCACAACGCACTTATAGTGTGAATTTTACATAAATTCGTAACTGAATATTTAAATATTAATAATAATTTTCAATTTCAACTTGACTCTCTAGATGTTATAATCTAAATTTAAAATACAACAATCAATATATGCTAAAATTAGTTATATTTGATTTTGAAAAGTAAATTTATATTTATAAGGAAGTTAGCTGACTGAACAGGATTCGTGCCATAACAGTATTCCCTGAATATGCGTTAATTCGTTAATTTGTTTGAATGACACAAAATTTGTTTTAAATTAATTTAGGTTTAATTGTAATTTTGATTTAAAGTATCACAATTATACATTTTTAATCTCTTAAGTTTTTATTACGTTAATTAAATCTTCCAACATGATGAATATATGATTTTGGGTTTACTGTGTTAACTGGGTCTTTAAAGTATTATTACAGTTTGATTTTAACCCAAGAAAAAAAATAAAACAGTACAATACTTACAAGAATCAATTAGTAGAATTAAAAGTTATTATTAAAATAATAAATTACATTTTCTGTGAATAAATGACAAAAAATACGGTAAATTTAGTTAAACCATTAAATGTGTCTTTACTCACTATTTATATCTTTTAATTGCATTTTTTATTTTTATTTTTAAATTATAATATTGATCATCTTATTTATCATTAATTGCAATAATCAAAATTCCTTGACGCATGTAAAATATTTTAATATAATTTATTTTATACCAAAATAATATTCCTAAAAACTGTATATGCAATCATTTCTCTTATCTCGAAATAGATTTGCTAGAAAGATTCATAAGTAGTTTTTTTGAAATAGTATTTTCAAATAATTCCCTCTATGTATGATCTTTTAAATAGTTTAAGTGGGTTAAAAAAATATAAAATGATAAAACACAAATATTTTATAAATTATTTTAATATTAATTATTTCAATAAATAATAATTGATTAAGTATTTATGATATTAACAAAATCAAAATTTATAATTGAATAAAATATAGCATATATAAATTAAAAATCAAAAGTCTTTATATAGATTATAATGAGATTAAAGTTAAGATGATATTATAATAAAGGAAATCAAAACTTAGAAAAGAGTTAGGAATCCAAAAGAAAATAATAATACTGTAGTGAGATGGAGAATTGGCTTTAAAATAAAAATAAAAAAAAACTTTCATGACATTCTTTTAGTTATTTTTTTTTCTCTTTGCATATTTTTCTTTAAATTTTTCATATTTTTCTCATACGCTAAATGATTTTTCATACTTAGGAAAATATATTTTTCATAATATTTTAATTTTTTTAATAATTTAAAATTCTAGAATGGCTCGATAAAATTACAATAGATTAACATCCAACTTATAATCTAATATCAATGCATCTTTATAATTATTTAAAAATTATTCTAACACTAGAAGAAAAAATACTTTTAGCGACCGAATTTTGTTGATTGCCTTTAGCGATTGATTTAATTCAGATCACAATTTAGTGACCGATATAATTCGGTCATAATTAGCGACTGATTTTGTCACTTGAAATATGATTTGTTTCACTTTTTTATTTAATTACCAAAATAGCGATCAATAGTTTGCGTCGCAAAATTTCGGTGACTATTTCATGTTAAAATAAAAAAATTATTTAGCGATCTGAATTACAAATTAAAATAGTGACCAAATTAAAATCGATCAGCTAATGAGAAAATAACGATCGAATTAAAATTGGTCGCTAATGAACATAAATTTTTTTATTATATTTAAATTTATTTTTTATAAATATACCTTAATTGTTTTAGTATATTTTTTACAATTTGTTTTTCAAAAGTAATTTATTTTTTAAAATATACTTTAAAAAGAAACTTTGGTTTCAATGTTAACAAAATGAATATTAACTTTAATTTTAAATTACTAAAATAAAAATATTATTAAAAATAAATCAAATTTATTAAAAAATTAAATTGTAATGATATTAACTCTTCAATACAATGTTTAAGAAAAGTTTAATAACAAATATTCTTTAATATATTTTTCAATTGAAATTAAATTATATTTTAAAAATTGATATTAAAAAAATTGAACACATCAAATTATCATATTTTAATTCCTTATTAACTTAATTAATTAAAAAAATTACAATTTTAATTATATTATTACAATTTATTTTATAATACTTTATTTTTAATCTAGTTTTTAAATTTATTGCTTTATTATTATTAATTGCTTAACCAGGTATTTTTCATATAATTGATATACCAAAAAAAATATATCAAAATATAATTGATATGCATCAGATAATAAATATATTATGTAATTAAATTATTTATAGAAATATAATTATCTTTAGTTGAAATATTTTTTTAATTACTCAAATAACATAATGTAGATTTTTTTACCTACATAGCACAATTTTTTTTAAGTTGCGAATTCGATTTCATGATACACAAAACCGAACGTGATTGCATATTATTTTTTCTTTCAAACCATTTAGAATTCGGTTTTTCGGTAATCGAATTCTGAATTGGTTTTATTTATTTTTTTTGTTTATTTTGTTAAGAAAGAAAAATTAACTAATATATATATATATATATATATATATATATATATAGTTTTAAATTATAATTTTAAAAAAGATTTATATATTTCTTAAATTAATAATATATTTAGATTTATTGTTGAAAGTAGTAAAATAATATTTTTAAAATATATTATTAAATATTATATTTATATATTACTTGTTAATTTTTTTTAATTGTTTGATTTATTTGATATTGTAATATTTTTTTTAGAAATTAATAATAAATTAGGAGGATAATAAAAGTTTTATATGTATGTAAGATGAAATAATATTTTTATGTAAAATTATGTTTTTGAAATGTATGTTTTTTTTGTTTTGTAATATTTTGGAATATATATATATATATATATATATATATATATATATATATATATATATATTTTAGAAATGAAAATAAGTTATATGTTGGAATATATATATATATATATATATATATATATATATATTATAATTCTAAATATGATTTATTTTTAAGTTGATAATTATTATTTTAATTTTTGTAATAAATATATATATATATATATAATTATAATTTGTATAATATATATCATTTATTTAACATTAAAAATAGTTATATTTTTATTAATTTTATAATTATAATTTTTTTAAGATTATAATTTTAAATATAATTTTTTAATTTTATAGTTATAATTTATATAATATATATAATTTATAAATAATTATTTTTTTAATTTTAATTTGATATATATTTTAATTTATAATTATTTAATGTATATTTGAAAAATTATTAAATTCTAATCGATTCGAATATTTGAAAAAGTAATTGATTATTTAAAAAATAATATATCTTAATCGAGTAATTGAAAAATTAATATACATTAAATAAAATAATATATATATATATATATATATATATTATTATACTGCTTTATTTTATTTAATAAAAAAAGTTCATTAGAAGTATTTTAAATTAATTTAGTTTTTTAAAACACTTTCACTACTACGGAATGATCATTCAACGTCGGGTGTGGAAGACATTCAACGTCGGTTCCAATGACGTCGTTGATTCGAGCGTCGTTGAATGTCGAAAGGATTCTACGTCGGTTCGGAATAACCGACGTTGAAAGTGATATATATCTACGTCGGTTAACCAAATGTCTGTCATAGAAATTAGTAAATTCTATGTCGGTTATTGAACTAACCGACGTTGAAAGTCCTTTCTCGCTCAAGCGATCGGTGTACTCGCTTGAGCGACGAAGTCTTCAAACAAAGGGGATTCTCGGGTGCTGTTTCGCTCAAGCGACCGACGTTACAACGTCGGTTAATGCAATAACCGACGTAGAATATCCTTTTTTTTTTAAAATGTAGGTATGTTTTAGTGCCACCAACAGTACACAACCTGCTATAATCTCAGTCCAGACAGTATATTTATTTCAACTAATCACTAATATACAAAATGATAGATATATATGTCAAAATCAGCCAAATTATGTACAAAATACACAAAAAATTATCAATCAATCCTATTCCTAACTACTTGTACAAACTTTTCTGCCCATTTGTTTCTAACCATGTCTATAGTATCCATAGGCAAAGGTTCTATATCTTTAAATGCACGTAAGAAGTTCACAATAATAGAATGGTAAACCCTAAGCAATAAAAATAAAGGAATTGAATATAATAGCAAATGTCAACTTACCTCATTCCAACTATCCTGAATCGCTACCAAAAATGATGAGCCACATCCAATACATTACATAGTAGCCGCACTCGTATCCTCCATTTTGTTTGTTACACTAAAAATGACTAAATATGTTAAAAATAACTATTAAATTTGAACATAAACTAATAGATAGTATAATATATATAAAGGCTACTTACTTTGATAAAATTCCAATTTGGAGTTGTGTTTTTACTTGTGTGTTTTCCACATAATGTACTACAAACCTTTAGAGCACTATATATTGAAAAGAAGGGGGTTAGAAATAGAATAATCAAGATGTTTAGACATAATATAAGAAATACTTACTCGTTTACAATATTTTTTAGCTCCATGTCAGGTTTCCTTCCCAATGAGCGAGAACCAACACACAAGATTCTCGCTTTGGACAAATAACTAATAAGCTGCCAGTGGTTTACGTATATACACATGATTAGAATCTATTAAAAAAACTTGTGTAAAACCAGAAGAGGCTAGGATAACTTACGAATGATGGTATGCTCCAAGGTAAATATCTCTTTTAGAATCAGTGATCCAATTCGCATGTAGCGAGAATTTGATCACGCTTATTCCGAGACTTTTGTATGGATTGAGGCTCGAAGAATCCATACACATGACCAATGCCCTGCTCCACTATCATTTCGTGCATCATCCTAAAATATGCCAATTTAAGTGAACTTATAACTTATATATTTACTAAAATGAAAAGAGTCATGAAAGATATGAACTTACAATGTCCAAAATTGTAAAACGACTATATTTAGACATTGATTGCACATCCCAATCTCCGGGGCATCGGTGTGGGAAATGTATAGGGGGATATTGCTAGAAGTCATCCCAAATAATGTACAATCCCATGGAACTTGGAATGACTGCATATACAATTGTGGGGAAAGAGACAAGAGATCAAAAATTGGATTTGGAGAAGTCTCCACAGCTGGTGTCTTCTCCTTAGATCCAGAAGGAGTGGTAATAGCTTTACCCAAGTCTTTTGGTCGCTGAACATCCTACATATTTTATAAAATATAATCATAAACAATAATCATATGTGTTAGATGTATTATAACCATACATATACATACCTTTGCCATGATTGACCTAACTAAATGTCGGGGCCAAGTAATGAAGGTCCGAAGGGCTTGGCCCACTGTCTGCACCTCTTCGATGGGGATAGGGACACTAGCCTCGGCGACAACCACCTTTTCAACCACTACTTTGACCAAGTTAGGATCCAAAGGCACATTGTGGATGGTTGAAGCCCCTTCATGAACTGATCCATGGGCCACTAGTCTTAGACCTTCATCTACCTCAACCCACAAGCCATATCGATCATCCTTTGTGAATTCGGGATGAATAGATGCCACCTCGAGTGTGACCTCGATAGTGGCTTCAAGCACTAACTCGTCCTTTGTGCTAACTCTTGGACCTACAAATACGAGTAAATTCCAATAAGGACTAAGATTTTAGAAACACAAGTCAAGTACCAATTTGTGGTTGAAAATGCACCG